CCAGGTCTTTAAATATGTATAAAAACATAAACAAACCAACAGATCTACCACCCTTTTGTAGTAAACACACAAAATTTAAATCTATTGATCACACTGAAAGTCTGTGTTGATGTGTGGGTAATTCGTTTCAAATTATAATTTTGTCTGTCCGTTGTTTTATATATATTACATGTACATGTATATATACATAGTGATATGGTTAACAATCCGATTCGGGATTTTAAAGTATATATGTAATAGGGAAAATATTTTTTCATAGAGTAAGTCGTGAAAATTTATTGAAAATATATAATTGACGATCCTACTAATATTATAAAATAGCTTCCTCCCAAGGATAGAAAGTAGCCTATGCGTTAATTCAGAATGTAGTGTAAATCTGAAAGTTTGTGAAAATGTATTTTTGTTATTATGTCACGGCAAAACGTCTGGGCCGATTGGAAAAATCTAGACTATACCCTGAATCAACACAACCTGCATTTTATCGACCATGTGGACGAAACCGCGGACAGAAACTAATAATTGATATTTTCGATTAAGTATGTATAACAGAGTACATATAAATCCTTAAATTACCCATATCGGACTGTTTCCAATCGCTTTAAAAGTACAATATAGATGTTACTATTCGATAATAAATAGAAAAAGTCAACAAAACCAAAGTAATTTAATACTCGAATATTACATTATATAATTATATATTTTTTTATAATTCGAATATAATATGATACTCGAATATTATACAATTATAGTAGCCAATAAAAAAAATATTAAACGGCAAACTCTAACTATTTTACGAGATAAGCCGATCAGTTTCAAGCAAGGATAGGAGCTCATATTCATGAAAAGTATTGTTCAACACCAACTATAGTAAAAAAAAATAACGACAAAACTATCGTACAGTAAATAATCTATATTGTTGATATAAATAGAAAATTACTATATTTTATTTATTATAGTATTTAATCGATGCTTTTTCATTACTGACTTACGTCCTTTCTATTAAAGAGCACGAACACGGACGCATACTGTTCTTTTTTATAATTTCAATATATACTAATATTATAAATGCGAAAGTAACTCTGTCTTTTCTTCACGCCTAAACTACTGAACCGACTTCTGTAAAATTTGGTACAGACATAGTTTGGAACTCGAGAAAGGACATAGGATAGTTTTTATACCAAAAATATGCAGGAAGTCAGTATTCCACGCGAACGGAGTCGCGGGCAAAAGATAGTGCAAAGATTTAATATCGATTAAATACCATAAGAAATAAAATATGGTTTAAGAAGATGTCAGAAAATAGCACAAAATATAGGACGGCCTGTAACTTAGACTATAAATTCAGACCTACCTCATTCTTACCCTACTTAGGGTTTTATAACCTACCTATGCTATCTGATAAAGAAGACGACCGCTAATCGACGTATAAAAAATCCAATAACAAATTTGACTTTTACACATGGCAAACTTGACATATGTCAACGTCAATCTTGACATATGTCAACGTCAATTTTGCAATTGAATTTTTTATGTTATTCGACTACAATCAATATAAGAGATACTAGCACAGATCTTAAAACCTATGCTGAATGTCAGTATTACCCAATTAATTTTTGGACGACATCGCAAGACCGATGGGTCAGCTAGTTATTATAAGGGCTTCTGGCAACCCTAAGATCGTCACAGATCACACATTTATCGGCATCTGTACGTGCTCTTCGACGCACAGAAATGCATTTTATAATGGTCACCCATCCATTTGGTGGTTGCTTAACCTAACTACTGGTCCACTAACTAATCTAAGTCCTCCAAAACGATTTTAATTTTAATGTCTATAGTAGTAGAGTATAAAATACTTTATACATTATGTACATTCGGCATGAGTTGTGCTAACCGGTTAAGATTATCTTTCTAAAAACGTTTTAAATAACATTAAAATTGAATTGACTAGCTTCGAAAATAATAACAGAATTATTACGCAAATTTTTCATTTAATCACTTAGAAAAAGTCTATGTAGGTACTATAGATTTCAAGCCTTCGCGTTGCATTTGAATACTTTACTTTTTAACGGGATAGTTAGTACCTTTTTTGTTTTTTTTTTGTTTGACGTTTAGGCAGGGTTACAGCTGCCGTGGTCACAAGCAGACCCTGATCTCAGCCGGGGTTGCAGGGCTAGCGCAAATCAGGAGAAGGAACGGGGGGTTTTTTAGTCAGTCTGTCTGTCAGGCACTCCCTCCTGACCGACATCCATTCGATGATTTCGTCATTGGATGATTTTCCCCTAACAAAAAAAACCCTAATCTACCATCGATGTTGAAAAACGTGATGAAGATCAGTCACCTTTAGTAGTCTGCTTGTAACCTTGGCAGACAAAACCCTGCCGAAACGTCAAGCAAAAAACAAATAAAAAAAAACGGTTTTATATTTGTTACTGACTAAAAACCCCCTGTTCCTTCTCCTGCTCTGGGGCGAGGTCGCGGTGCCTCATTGCGCTTACCCCTCCACCCCGGCTGAACATCAGCCCTATAGGGCCCCGTCCGTGGTGATCTATTGGCTTTAACGCGACGCGCCGTAAGCAAATAAAAATGTACGTGCCCGTTAATTTCAGTCAAGTATCAACTATGTAGGGATACATATTATAAATAATGTTTTATGTATCCTAACTTGAATATATGACACACACAGACAGACAAATCCAAAAAAATACATCATTATTAGAAAGATAATCCTAAACAAAAATCATCAAGCTGTCATTACGAACACTTTCCAAATCGGCGTACTAAACCCTATTACTGTTACCATTTCTTCCTTTTCACTGATATGAAGCAGGAATGTTAGGGAACTCCGTAAACGCAACCGAAACTATCGGAGATCCGATGTAAAAAAATATCTGTAACCGTTACCGAATCCGAAATAAAAGTTTCAAACAATATCGGATAGGGGCGGAGCCTTATTGAGATACGTTATGTTTGTATTTTTCTTCCGAAATTCCTTAAAATTTTAATATCCGTAACCGAAATTATCCGAAAGTAACGGATAATCCGAAATAATTTCATATCCGTATCCGTAACCGTGTCCAGTATAATGATCATTCCTATATTTGTATCCAATCCATATCCGAAATTTCATATCCATAACATCCCTAATATGAAGTTATCACTTTTTCACTCATATTGGCAAGGCATTTGGCCTCTATCACGCCTGGTGGTAAACAATGATGCGACCTACGATGGAGCACGGCTACCCATAAGCAACCTATTCACTCGGGCCTTGAAGACACCCAGGTAATACCCTTCGGGGAACACAGACTCCGGCAAAGAATTCCACTCCTTAGCGGTTCTGACTATAAAACTGGGGGCGAATCGCTTTGTTCGTGTGGGATGGGGGGGGGGGATATCCACCATGAAATACTAGTTTCGTTTACAATTTATGGGATAGTTCGGCTAACGAGCAGACGGATTATCTGATGGTAAGCAATCATCGCTGCTCATGGACACTCACAATGTCAAATGAGTTACTACAAGTGCGATCTCTTGCGGGTTATTTGAGGATTGAAGATGGAGGAGGTTGGTTGGGCCTCCAATAATCTCACTCACACCGCGAAAAGCAACGGAACTGAAGTTTATTTACGCCGGTTTTCTATGAGGCCGTGGTATCACTCCTTTCGAGCCGACTCATTCGCGCCGAAACATGGCTCTTTCTCTATGCAAATAAGACTCATTTTTTTTTTCAATCAGTGAATAGAAAAAATGATAACAGCACTAAGAAAAAAGTACGTCGACTGGACAATGGTCGCAATAGTGTCAGCATACACCATAAAACCTCAACAAATAGTCGAACACCAAATTCGTGAGTCCCAATAAACGACAAGGCGACATTCTAACAATTAATTTGGCAACACCGTTAAAAGTTGCCACGCTTAAAAATATACAAGACTAGCTACCCCTTCACTTTCACTCGCTGCTCGGCTACTACAGATCGTAGCGTGATGTTTTATAGCCAATAGCATACAGGAAAATTGTAGCTATATATCAGTGAAAGAATTTTGGAAATCCGACCAGTGGTTTCATAGATTACCTCCTACATATAAACTTACAAATTTTACCCCTTTATAATATTAGTACAGACATTTCAGTCCCCGACAATTAGCCACCATTAAGTTTAAAAAACTATTTTACTTATATTATAATTATATACATATAATAGTGGTATATAAGGCGGACAATTCCTTAGTATATAGAGCGATAATGACTGCCAAGAAATTTGATCTTAACCTCACATAGGTACGGAATCATATTAAGATACCCAGGACTTCATTGGGAAATCAACTTTATTCGCTTAGGGATAGAAGGGAAGGTTGATTGACGATTATCTATATTTAAAAGGGTACATTGATAAGCTCGCATACGCATATTAATATACTTTTATTCGTTTCGTTTAGGAAGAATATGTACCGTTGAAGTAATGATTATTTTCCGAATATTCGTTTTTAGAAAGCTCTGACCGGATTAAAAAAAACTGATATAAATTTAGGAGATTATTACATTACGTGATTTATAAGTATAAAATCGAGACCCCACGCTAAATTAACTCATAGAACATACGGCTTCATTGAGAAACCTGCACGTCGATTCTATAAAATTTGTTTGATTTTTAAACTTGTTCGAGTGTGAAGTGACGGGGAAATTACATTATAGAATGCCAATTTCAACGTCATCTCATATTTTATCTATCAAAATGTTGCTGTCAATTTAGTTCAACTCGCAAGTGTAGCGCTAGTGTACTACTACTCACAGCGGATTCAGATTCGAAGTTTAGAATGAAGTCTTACAGAATCACACGGCAGGTAATGATAGAAAAATTATTATATATAGTCAAGCTTTTTGTTAGAAAAAAAAAAATACACACGACTAGTTTTTTATATATAATTTGGACGTACGATCGTTCTGTTTTATGGCCTAAAAACAAAATCAAATATATTGTTTCTAGAATATGGTAAACCGTCCAAAATTGTGTCATTTTCATAAAACCGCTAATCCGAGCCTTTATAAATGTATGAAAAAATTTCAGCCAAAAAAAGGTACTTATGCGAATATTTTTCTATACAATTTTTGTTTTACATCAAACTCTTTATCCCTCGCAGGAGGTTAAGCAAGTATGGTACAATAAGTGCACTTACTATAGCATTTTTTAAATAAACTACATTAAAAGGACAGAGCGAATTCGCGCCTAAATTAGGTCCTAACACTGCTATGCAGAAATTCGACCTACATAATTTCCTTATTGAGGAATTGAACCTACAAAAAACGTTAGACACAAAAACGACAAAACACTTTGGTAAGCTCTTTTAGCCAATTTACAACTTAAAAACTACATTAAAACAAAAAAATACATACATGATTTTCAGATACACACAAAATATCAATAAAAAAGAAAAAATGTACAATAACATATAAAAACAAACATTCAAAACACTAGTTCAATTCCCGCGCAATATTAAAAGTTATGAAATAAATCAACGCATACATATTCTCCCGCACGACCGCTCGCTTACGGTACAACGGACAGACTGACTGAATCGGAACAAAATCACTTTTTTTTCAAACTACCCACAAATCCGTGGAGGCATGAACCAAAGTTTAGCACTACAGCACTAGGTGCGCAGTGAGGATCGGCGCCCGAAGAACACGTACATCAAACACTATTCCTTCTCCGACTTCTTCCGTTTTCTCTTGTCGTTCTTTTCAGTCTTCTCGACCTTCTTCTTCTCCTTCTTTGGTGCGACCGCCGCCGTCTCTACATCCTGCGTCTCCTGAAACTCTTCTGGTTTCCTCTTCTTTGGAGGAGGTTTTATTGGAGACTTCTCTGCCTTCTCGGGCGTGGGTGCTGCTGCTTCTTTCTTAGAAGACCGTAATTGCTTTGGGGAGGGTTGTTCTTCTTCTGAAGTGGTTGCTGACTTTGATTTGTCTTTAGATTCGGAGTTTTGGCTTTTACGCGTGTATTTTGTTGGTTTTTTGTCATCGTCCTCGCCGGGGATGCCGAGTATTTCGGCCCACTGGTCTGGTGGGGGGGTTGGCTGTTTCCTTTCTTCGTCGATGTCCTGTTTCTGCGGGACAAACGGAGTGAATTGAGGTGGGTGGTTGCGAAAACACCTTATATCCATAATGTTTTGTTGAACTAAAATAATAATAATAATTCAGTCGGCAACAAAAGCTCGGCTGTTAGTGACCGCTCAGCATTAGAATAAAAATCAATCAAAAAAACATGATGGATATAATCAGAGGAAAAAAATAGCGACTCTGCATCGGACATCCAGCATTGACAGACACGGCCTTAGAGTAACAAGTTTGAAAAACAAAGACAACAATTATTTAATTAATATATTATAATAACCATCGTACTGTGCATACATTTTTATTATAATAAATTTCGCTGACGAATAAAGTTGAGGTCTGCAAGTTTGTGGATCGATAGTATAGCGCACTGCAATACCCACGGTCTTTCTTGGCACCGTAGACATTTTGTGAGTATGACATATGTCTTCGTTGACCATTTTGAAGGTTGAGGTTGGGTACGCAGCGCCATATTTTGCCTAAGGCCGTGTGTCATAATGCTGCGGGCGTCGATACTTTTAGCTACCGAACGTAAGGTTGTAAGGTCACATTTTCAAAAAACCAAATATAATTGGAATGCTTCCTCAAGGTCAATAAAAAAATATAGTAAGTTTAAGATCAACCTAGGTAGTAAGCGAAAATATGTGAAATCTAATTGAAAATGTCTTTTTTTTTTTGTTAAAATTAAGACTAGTTGTAAACAACCCGATTATAATATTAATAAGGGCTGATTTTTCAATGGTTAGGTTACATAAAAGTTACCTGGGGAATAATTATGATGCTGTCGCGTCACAATGTTTGTATAAGACAGTGACAGCAACAATTTTATTCCTCGGATAACATTAATCTGACTATTGAAAAATCAGCCGTAAATAATGTAAATTTTTGTGGATATCTCCTGTGTAATGGAATGGCAATTTATTTACGAAAAGTAACTATCCTGGGACTTGCTAGATTTGTGGAAAAGAACGACTTACCCACGAGAATTAATTGAGAAAAGCTCTACTAGTTGTATCGACACGCTGCTCATGAATAAGAGTCCCGCTGTGACTTGAAACTGGTCGAGCTTTTCTCGGTTAATTCACATGAGTAAGTAGTTATTTTAATCATCCAATATATATTTATGTATTTCTTCTTAGTTTTTGGTTTTTATCATTAATTTCCTATAATTAATCAATATATATTTATTGCATTGAAAGTCCATATATTTATCTTTAACTAACTCAAGCATCAAATTCTTTATTTATTTATTATGTACAAGCTACTCTCACGCGGTTTCACCCGCTGCTCGGCTTCATTTGATTGTAGCGTAATGTTTTATAGCCTATAGCACTCAGGAACATTGTAGCTATCTATCAGTGAAAGAATTTTGGCAATCCGACCAGCGGTTCCAAAGATTACCCCCTACATACAAACTTACAAATTTTACTTCTTTATAATATTAGTATAGATAAAACAAATGACGGTCTTCTTCACTTCTCGTGATTTGTCAGACCTCCATAGAGACGAATTTTGCATAGAAAAACTACAAACTACTACAAATACACTACATAGTATAAAACAAAGTCGCTTTCTCTGTCCCTATATCCTTATGTACGCTTAAATCTTTAAAACTACGCAACGGATTTTGATGCGAAGGTTTATATGTATAATAACATCCATTAAATAGTGGAGAAATTAGTTTCAGTATTGCACCGAATACTATTAAAATTTTCACAGTAGAACATTGGGATTAGTTCCCCCTAGTTGTCTTGTAGGTTGTCCTTAGTTAACCTAACCTGGCTAGCCACAACGAAGGCGTAGTTTCACGCCAGTTTTCTGCGAGCACCGTATCATCATAGCTTTTTTTTTGTCAGGGGAAAATCATCCAATGACTTCTCCCGCCCAGGGTAAGGCGAGAGAGAGTGTCAGACTCTTACTGACTAAAAACTCCCCTGTTCCTTCTCCTGCTCTAGGCCGAGGTCGCGGTGCCTCATTGCGCTTACCCCGCCACCCCGGCTTGGTTGTTTCACGCCAGTTTCATCATCATCATAGCTGCGTCGGTCATTATCAGTAAAGGCCTCAACTAAAGCCAGTTATGGTGTAAGACTCAACCAATTATGCCTAAAAACTTTTACATATATTTTAGACAGCTTTTATCTTTATAAAATGATTATAATAACTATTACTTTACGCCCGCTTCTCATGCATGAGGGTGCGGGTTCGAAACCTGGCAAGTACCAATGTGACTTTTTCCGAGTTATATGTACTTTCTATGATTATTTAGACACCACTGACATACGGTGAAGGTAAACATCGTGAGGAAACCTGGACTTATAATTTCTAATTATAAGTTTGAAATCACCAACCCGCATTGAGCAAGCGTGGTGATTAATGCTCTCACCTTCTCCGTGTGAGAAGAGGCCTTTGCTCAGCAGTGGGCACTTATAGGCTGATGATGATTGAACTTTTACTTTTCTTAGTATATACTATTCAAATCTAAGCTTTGGACGAGCAAATAGCGTCACTAGAGGACAGACAGACTGTCACGCTCAAACTTTAATATAGTTTTTTATTTAACGTCCTATAGCACCTAACTATAGTAGTCTATTCGAAACAAAGACTCGACTTTGACGTTGACTTTGAAAAAAAAATACAAAAAAAAAACCGTAAGTACCTAGTACAAAAAACAGCACTCATATTAATTAACATTATAACTATTAAAGTATAAAAAAAAATCATGACGATAACAAGAAAACTAGTCACCTACACCACACTACAAAACCCATCCCATAAAATAAAACAAAACAAAAATAGAAAAGATACAATTAATACTGAAACTTTTCGCGTTTCATATTAACAACATATTATTAAAAGGGTATTAACGCGAAAAATAATTATTTAAATACTTTAGAGGGCTCGACCTTTGGACCTGGTTGGTGGACAGTCACAAGCAGAATGACCGTCATTCTTTATATTATTTAAATAAGCGCCCGGGCACTGGATCGCTCAATCTATACTTACATTGTAAAGAGGTAAAATTTGTAAATTTGTATGTAGGGTGTAATCTTTGGAACCGCTGGTCGGATTGCCAAAATTCTTTCACTGATAGATAGCTACAATGTTCCTGAGTGGTAAAGGCTATAAAACATCACGCTACGATCAAATGGAAACCGCGGGAGAGTAACTAGTTCCCTATTATAATATGTTCGTGAATGGACGCCACCTATTGGTACCGGTCAGCTCCGGACTGTCTATTGTCCTTAATTTTGTTTCTTTCATAAATATGAGTGTTACACTGTTCTCAAATATTCGAAACCACTAAATAATGTACCAAAGGAATGACTGATGATATGTGAAACTGATTTAAAAAGAGTAACCATGGAGTTTCTTGATCTTCTCCATAGGAATCTACATTTTGGAACGAGAAAATAGCTGTCTAGATAGAATGTCGTGGTGGCCCGGAGGTTAAGGAGCCCGCTTCTCATGCATGAGGATGTGGGTTCGAAACCTGGCAAATACCAATGTGACTTTTTCCGAGTTATATGTACTTTCTATGATTATTTAGACACCACTGACATACGGTGAAGGTAAACATCGTGAGGAAACCTGGACTTATAATTTCTAGTTGTAAGTTTGAAATAGCCAAACCGCCTTGAGCGAGCGTGGTGATTAATGCTCAAACCTTCTCTGTGTGAGAAGAGGCCTTTGCTCGGCAGTAAGCACTTATAGGCTGATGATGATGATGGTGTTGAAATAGCTTCACTAGAGGACTGACCGACAGACTGACATATTAAAGCGACGTTCAAAAGTGCCTGTAAGGGTTTAATTGAAATACACGATTAACTTTTTATTTACTTTTCGCGTTAATACCTATTTAATAATACGTTGATAGAGATAGTATCCACAAAAATATATCTTTAAATATGCCACGGGTTTAAACTCAAGTGTATAACAAAGACATAGGTCTAAGCTACAGAGCTTTATCGTGGTACGGTTTAATAAAATTTTATTTGTAAAATGTGACCTTACGAAGGGTATATACGCCCATAATATGTAGCTAGGATAGGAATGCACTGTAAATTTGAAAAAGTTCAAAACAACATTAAAATATGTAGGTTTTATGTCATATTTAGACCAGAGAAAATAATCTTTTTAACAAAATAATATTTATCATGTGGTAGGACGGCGTTCGAGGTAATTCGTTACCTGATGGTAAGCAATCTTCGTCGCCTATTGAGACACAAGACCCCTAAAGAGTTACAAGTTGCCGGCCCTTTGAGGGTTGTTAGGAATGGGGGTAAGGATTGGGAGTTTAGTAACCTCACAGACACGACGGAACTTCTCGCAATAATTAATTTGTCATTCAGCGCTGTTTCGCCGTGTGAGTGAGATAACCGGAGGCCCAATCCCTCACCCTTCCCCCATCAATTCCCGATCCCTCATCCAAAAAGTTCGCAACGCACTCACAGCTTCTCTGTTGTTGCGAGTGCCCATGGGCGACGCTGATTGCTTACCATCAGGTAATCTAAATGCTCGTTTGAAGACCTATCACTTAAAAAGATGGGGAGGGGAGCGTGAGGGGGATTGGATCACCGTTAACCCCACTCACACGGCAAAACGTCTAGCACTAATAATAATAACGTCCATTTTGAGAAAGTCGGTTAAAAAAATACAGTGCATTCCTATCGCGTCCGATGTAAAGCCGCCAACCACCGCACGTCGCTCCGTTTGTCCGCGCCATTCTCATAAACAAATGCATTCTGCAACCAACACGTACATTACTTGCATTAATGCTGCACTTATAGCACTGCCCGCAGCTTATGACACGCGACTGACCGCATAAGACTCTTTTACCTTCATTGTTTCATCTTCAAAATATCAAGGTAAAAAAAAACACCGCAAAAACTAGGAGGGTCTTCAAAAAACACACCCTGTATTATAAATGGGCACCCTGTATATTAGTGGAACGAAACGGGTATCGAACCCAGCCCAGTCGATAAAAAACGTTAATCAAATAAAAACGAACTCAAAAATCGTCGACAGCACTAAAATAGTTTAAATTTATTTTGCATGATGATTTTGTTGAAAATAACTAAATTTTTTACCGGAGTCATTCTAGTAATAAAAAAATCACTAGATTTTTTTCAATATCATAAAAAATGAAGAATCCTTCATTAACTAATTAATATATAAAGAAACTAAGATATATATTCTCTCCAACTTTAATAGCTAGTCATTTAAATAACGGGTTGCGGGGTACGAGCAATGTGGTACCGAGACCTCGGCCTAAAACAGGAGAAGGAACGGGGCGGGGGGATTTTTCAGTAAGAGTCTGACAGTCTCTTTCGCCTTAACCTGGGCGGGAGAAGTCATTTGATGACTATCCCTAGACAAGAAAAACGTCAAAAAACGGCCTAAATAAATAAATTGTGATTGACTGGCTAATATTCTCATTCAGGCCGTTACTTGAACGGTCTATTAAACAGAGATCCTACCAAAATTACGTTAGCTTTTTTGGAGTAGGGGGAAATCATTAATTATTAACCACCCAAGGTGAGGCGAGAGGGAGTGTCAGACTCTTACTGACTAAAAACCATTCCGTTTCTTCTCCTGCTTAGACCCGAGGACGCGGTGCCTCATTGCGCATATCCCGCAAGTCCGGAAAATTAGATTATCTTTGAAAACAATATTATATCCTTTACTCAAGATATATGGATTTGGATTGGGTTAAGTTGATAAAAAGATATTCAAACAGACCCAGATCAGTGTTGAAGACGGGACGACACGGAGTCGAAAGGAACTTAAATACTTTTTATTATAGTGGGCAATACTAAATATATTGAAAATTACGACGTAGCAACGCGTACACTGCTCATGAATAAGAGTCCCGTTAAACAGAAAAGTATTAGTAGACCTTTTCTCAGTAAAATCGCGTTCGTCGTTATTTTCTATAATTTGATTTATTTTACAACAACAAATAATAATTATCATCGACATCAACATTAAAAAAACAACCCTATATTTACAAACATCTTGGCTAAAAGTCCAACGTTCCAAATTCGAAAACGAAAACCGTTAGAATTAATTTAAAAATGTCCGACGCAGTTTCGCTTGAAATCTTTATTTTATTATTAATAATAAATATTATTATTAATCGCACCGCAATAAACATCAAAAATAAAATGCTCACGACGCTTCCTTAGCTAGCTTAAAAATTAATTTAAAATATAAGCAAGTAATCCATTAAAAAATACTCTTTTATTAGGTCGACCTGTAACGAAATCTATACTATCTTAACTATACTATACTAATATTATAAATGCGAAAATAACTCTGTCTGTCTGTCTTTTCTTCACGCCTAAACTACAGAACCGATTTCTGTGAAATTTGGTACAGACATAGCTTGGAATTAGAGAAAGGACATAGGATAGTTTTTATACCAAAAATCTGCAGGAAGTCACTATTCCACGCCAACGGAGTCGCGGTCTAAAAATGCTAGATTTTCATAACAAACTTTTCAAAACAACCCTATTGTAACACGACTAAACCATATAAAATTGATCTTTTTTTTTTACTTGCAATAAGCTAGTGCTTGACTGCGATCCCACCTGATGTTAAGCAGTGATGCAATCGTTGATGGTAAGGCGCACTAGTTTATTAAGAGCCTATTCACTCTAGCCTTGAAGACACCTAAATGATCACAGATATTGTTTAGAAACAGCTTTTTTTCACGAAATACGAGTAGAATCAACATTCCTAATGTATATTTAGTTTAAGTAGCCATATGTTATAGAGCCTAATTATTTCTTTAAGCCGTCGTGAGCATAATGAAATACAACAATAGCCATATACAATATACATATAAACAAAAAAAGAAAACTAGTTACAATTTTAACAGTGCCAGAAGTTTTTTGTTTAATGGTATAAGTGGGCAAACGAGCAGACGGATTACCTGATGGTAACCAATCAGCGCCGCCCATGGGCACCCGCAATGGAGGAGTTACGAGGGCGTTGCCGGCCTTTTGGGGATAAGGGTTGCGGATGTAAGGATCGGGAAGGGATAGGGGAAGGGGAGGGATTGGGCCATCGGTAACCTCACTCTCACGACGAAATACAACGTAAGAGTTGTTTCACGCTGGTTTTCTGTGAGGCCGTGGTATCACTCCGGTCGAGCCGACCCATTCGTGCCGAAGCATGGCTCTCCCACACTTATTTCTAAATTAATGTATACTACACTGGCACTGTTAAACCTGCAACTATCGATGTACTTACCTCTGCCTTGTCCTTCTTCTTGTCCTTCTTTACTTCTTTCTTCTCCTCCTTGTCCTTCTCTCGTTCCTTCTCCCGTTTCTCCTTCTTTCCGCCAGTGCGCTCGCGTTCTGTAATTTTTATCGTACATATTAAGATCTAGCTATCGCACGCTTATAAAAGTAATGTATCATTTTAAAAATAGCAGCGTTTAAAGCGATAGCTCAACTTTAATACGCAAATCAATAGTATAATTTATAGCCTACAGCACTCAGGAACATTGTAGCTATCTATCGGTGAAAGAATTTTGGCAATCCGACCAGCTGTTCCAAAGATTGTCCGCTACACACAAACTTACACTTCTTTCACTGATAGATAGCTACAATGTTCCTGAGTGCTAGAGGCTATAACACATCACCCTACAAATAGGAACCGAGCAGCGGGTGAAACCGCGCGAGAGTAGCTTGTGTAACTACTAAAGGACATGGGATAGTTTTTATATGAAAAATCTGCAGCAAGTCACTATTCCAAGCGAGCAAAGGCTAGTGTTTAATCAAATCAGCTCAGTTCTTGGTATCCTAGCTTGCTTACCATCAGGTAACATCAGCTCGACAAACAAGATACAAAAAGACACTCACTCTTATCCTTTCCATCCTTCTCCTTCTTCCGTTCCTCCTTCACCAGCTTGCAGTACTCTTTAAAGTAATCCTCCCTCAAGTTCGATCCCTCTACAGCTTTGTAGCGAGGGTCGCTGTCGATTTTCTTCTTAGCGTCGATCCAACGGGAGTGCCTGTCCACTCCTTTCTCTTTAAGCAGCGCAATGAACTCGATTTTCACCTACAACGAGATAAAAAAATATTGTTATTGAAGGAACTGGTTACATAAAGTTTTGAGATGGGTGTTCGGGCGATACGTTTTCAAGGGTCGTTTGATTTTTTTGGAGGTTAATGATTTACATTTCCGAGCTGTGTGTTATTGGCGAAGATTTATCTTGTTGGGGAAATATATTGAGAATTGGGTAGTTTCCTAGGTCAAAAATAATTTAATTCGACGTTTCAATACAATAAAATATTGATAAATGATTATACTTTTTCTCATCGATCGATCGATACACTAAGTTTTAGATATTGTTTGGCTATTTTTTAAGAAATAAGTAAGCTATTTGACGCAAAAATACTATGACGTCATAGCTCAGTTTTTCATAGAAAAGTATAGTTTTTGACATTTGGATAAAAGTATTGAATTTGACTAGTTGGAAACTACCGTATTGTTGGCTATCAATTTCTCGTATAAACCTAGCCATAACTTGAGCCTTGCAGGGGAGTCTTGAAAACGTAATTGATCAACTAATAATAAATTTTATCAATAATTAAGAATTGAAACAATTTGAATTGTTCAAAAGTTTTTTGGCTACCAATTATAGAAATCAACGGTTTGGAAAGAGCTCATAGCTTCAACTAAAGTTCTTTGTATAAAGTTTATGAAAAAACAGAATTTATCAAGAAGAAAATGCAGAATTGCAATAGTATCGTTAAAAAACATAGGGAAAAATATATACTTAGTCGGGTCATAAGTTCTGTCACAAACTTTTGATGTAATAACTTATACGCCTTTTGACAATTATTTAAAAATTATATATGAAATGAAAGGTCATTTAATGTACAATATAATTTTATTTACATTATTCGAAATGCCCTCCCCCATTTTGAACACATGCCCTTAATCTACGCGGCCAGTCATCGATCGCTGCACGCACCACATTCATATCTATGTCTGCCGCTGCTTTAACCAGAGATGCTCGGAGAGACTCCAAATTCGGGTGAGGTTTAGCACAGACTTTTTCCTCCAAATATTGCCATATCTTGTAGTCCAGTGGGTTTAAATCTGGACTAGAAGAGGGCCAGTCTTCATGCCGGATGAAGTCAATTCCACGAGCGATCAACCAGTCTTGCGTACTTCGTGCCTTATGAGCCGGTGCAGAGTCCTGTTGGAATATCCAATGCCTGTTCCTGAACATTGTCTGAGAAAGAGGTTCCACTATGTTTGTTAGGACAGTATTTTGATAAACTTCGGCACTAGTTCTCACACCTTTTTCACAGAAAAACACCTCAGTTACGCCTGAATATGAGACTCCAAGCCAAACCATGAATGAGGAAGGGTAATGCCCACGCTGGACCCTCGCAATACGCGCGCTTGCTTCTTCACTGCTGTGGGCATACACCTTATCATTTTGTTTGTTAAAACTTTCTTCAATAGTAAAAATTTTTTCATCCGAAAAAAGAATTTCGCGGTATTTTTTTCCCGCGTACCGTCGTAGCAAAGCGCGGGATCTGTCTAGCCAAATTTTTTTTAAACGCTCGTTCAAAAAATGTCCTGTCTTTTTACGATAAGCTCGTAGTCCCAGGTCTTCATTTAGTACTCTTTTAACAGTGGTTCTGCTTAGCCCCATCTGCAGAGCTAGGATTTTTTGTTTACGTACGGGATTTCGTTCGATTCGCGCCTTCACTGCTTTGATGACCTTATGTGTCCGAACTGTGCGAGGTCGGCCGCTTCTCTTACGATCTTCGAAGCTTGACTCTTCGGTGTATCGTTTGATAGTACGATAAACAAACCGTAACGTTATTTTCAAATTTTGAAGAATATTGAAAATGTCTTTTGGCGCGTAACCACAGCGGTGCAACGCGATAACCGCGATTCTGTCTTCTTTATTCGACCACTCCATATTTAAAAATGAATAAAAAATAATTTCTTTTTTATTTTCTACAAGCGCGAAAGTTCTATTTTTAAAATAAGTCGAAGAATTTCTGGCCAGTAATCGAAAATTAAAAATATAAGGTTTTGACAGAACTTATGACCCGACTAAGTACAATCCTATAAGTAAAAAGTAACTGAAAAACTATCGAAATCTTTTAATGTCGGCTTATAAGACACAATAGAGAAAAAAGACAAAACGTCTAGCGTAGATCAACGCCTAAAACACAAAAATATGTAATAAGTACAAGATACCCAAACATTACGGAAAGAAACAGCCAAAAACACAGCTCACGAATACATGAAAAAAAAAACAAGAAAATAAGAAAAAAATTCGCCGAGCTGACACCTGAAAACGTATCGCCTTACAGCCCGAACGCACAGAGCATCGAAGTTAGAACGCTGAAAGAAAACGTATGATTAAAAGCTGAAATTATTGAAAAAAAAAACGTCAACAATTTTTTATAATTAATGAAACCTGTGAACAGATACTCTTTGTTAAATCCTGAAAAAAAATTATCATTAGTTTTATTGTTATTATTAATTTTTTCATTATAAATTGGCGGACGGAAGTTCATGGAACAAACAACATATGTGTTAGGCAACGTAGATTACTTTGTTTATACAAAATAAATTATAATGTGTGTGTATCAAACTCCTAAACGGCTGAAGCTGTTTTGATAAGAATAATGTGAATGTTTACAACGAATTTCGGACAATTTTCGGGAATTGAACCAGATAAATTGTAAATAAGTTTCATCATTTATTCATAATCAACCAAACAATGTAACTTTAGATTATTTTTTGAAAGTACGAAGTAAAACAGCACTTTTACACGTCAATTTATTATCACCCTATAAGTCCAAACTGCAAAACACACTATTTGAATGCGCTAATACACCAGGGCTATAAAACATCACAATTAAATTTTAGTGAGACGAAAATATAAATTCTCTGAAACTCTTCACTAAGAGGACTGACCGACAGACTGACACTATATCTTCAAAATTTTGTTTGACGTTCAAAAGTGCCTGTAAAGATCTAATTGGAATAAATTATTTTTGACTTTTGTTTTCGCTAAAACTGGATAACGGTTAGTCCGTTTTGGATAATGTTGGTCTTAAAATATTCGTTGAAGACCAGAAAAGGTAGAAAAGGTCAAAACATATACCTACTAAGTTACAATTAAGGCGGTATGGAGTTCGCCGGGTCAGCTAGTATTTATATAAAAATCGAACACTAATTGGTATACGCATAACTCAACTACGAATAGACTAATTTAGCCAAATTTTTGTAATAGTCAGGAGAATGTTATTATGAAAGAAAATTTTAAAAAGTAGTAAGGTAGATTGAGGTATAGCAACCCTTTTGCCTTTAGGGGAATGTTATATACTGATAGTTAATAAAAAACTATCCGAAAAACCTGAGAATCAGACATGCTACCTTTTCTTAGGTAGAGAAAGAATAATGTAATACCAAGACAGTTTTCACCCTGCATGAGGCGGGAGGGAATGTCAGACTCTTACTGACTAAAAACCACCCCATTTCTTCTCCTTCTTCAGGCTGTAAATTATTGAACTTACACAAGCAATCCCTCGACAGCGATGTTTACATAATCACATTTATACTAATATTATAAAGAGGTAAAATTTGTAAGTTTGTATGTAGGGGTTAATCTTTGGGACCGCTGGTCAGATTGGCAAAATTTTGTCACTTATAGATAGCTACAATGTTTCCTGAGTGCTATAGGCTATAAAACATCACGCTACTATTAAAAGGAGCTGAGCAGCGGATAAAAACGCGCGAGAGTAGCTAGTCAGCCTATAATTAACCACTACTGAGCAAAGGCCTCTTCTCACACGGGGAAGGTTTGAGCATTAATCACCATGCTCGCTCTAGGCGGATTGGCGATCTCCAACTTATAATTAGAAACTACAAGTCCAGGTTTCCTCACGATGTTTACCTTCACCGTATGTCAGTGGTGTCTAAATAATCATAGAAAGTACATATAATTCGGAAAGTCACATTGATACTTGCCAGGTATCGAAACCTCGTGCATTAGAAGCGCCTTAACCTCCGGGGCTAATACACAATATTATAACCAAATCAGGGATCGAACCCGACAAATTAATCAACACACTTTTCACTAAAAACAAAGCTATCTACTACAAGATACATATACATAAAAAAAAACTAAAAAAAGAAACTTCCGTCCACCAAAACTCTATGTACTTCCTATATACTTTATTATATTAATGTATCTTATAAAGAAATCAAACCAGATTATATAAGAAAATAATTAATCGAAACATAACCTCCTTTAAAGCCGTCAGGTAAATAACTCTGGTCTAGTGGATCGTTAGCGATACTGTTGAGGAAAAGTCCCTAAATACGATTATCAAGTTGAATTAATTATTATCAAACTATTTTAAAATTCATTCTGACTATAATACTTCAATGAAATTCTCAATTTTAAAACCTGTATAGGTTATTATTTTTAACAAAAATTTAACTGTCACGTGGGTGTTTTTACAAACATACAATTTCACATACACATCACACCCAGACCCGGAACAACAATTTCTAAATCACACAGACTTGTTCCGTGCGGGAATTGAACCGGCATCACGTTGCGCGGCAGCCCAGCCAGGACTAATAACAAAACTTATAACGACTTATCAGTGATGAAATAATAATAATACTTAATAAAAATTTGTGTACCAATTTATTTAGATTAAATTTGTCTAAAGGGCCTCTGCGCAGTTGGCTTCGGTCCCCCGTACCTACGTCTCCGAAATGATAAGGACCACGAAAACTAAATCTCACTATCATACTACTACCGTACTTTTACCTGCGGATTTGACCGCGTCTATGTACAAGGTACTCCTAAACAATGTACTCTCAAGAATACCACTTCAATATACACATGCTAACGGTATCCCAACAAAACTTACATACATAACATAAGCATTCATTAAAGAAATCTGTCACAACTCATTAAGAATCAACTTGGCAATCAAATCTAGGACTTTCAACTCAGCAGCACCACAGAATTGTACACCAAAAATATTAATATAATAATACCAATAATATTTTTACACTACGCTTAACGTATGAAAATCGTTACTTGGTCATTTTGTGAGCTAAGAATTAATAAAAAAAGACAGTTTTGTTATGTTTTACACATTAGTATAGATGAAATATCACATATATTATAAGCAAGCCTTTTAGTTCTATTATAGGCTATATGACCAAAAAAAGCCCAGGAAACGATCCTGAGACTAATTAGTAATGGACTTATAACATAACTGGTCGACGATGGGTGTTATTACAATGTATAGACATCTGCCTACACCCTTCGGAGTTTGAGGCTTGATGTTATATTTTCTATCATAGCTCACGACATACATTATTTAGAACATCGATATCGATAAACTGTCTTAATTGAAAGTAATTATATGTAACCAATATCCCAAGTTTAAAAATAGTTTATTTAAAACACGAAAACTAAAGCTTTCTATAGACTTATAAGGGATTCGAACCCTAGTCTTCCAGAATACTGGGAATCGAACCCGTATAATTTGTGTATAATATCCACTTATATTCGATATCAAACGACCACTGTATTAGAGGAGACTTTTAATATTACTATTAAAAAGAAAATCTGGTTCAATTTCATTAATAAAAAGATAAAAAAATGATCTAATATTATAAGATTATCCTTTACAATAATTTAAAATTTAAAAACATTGAAAAAAATCTTTATTAGAGTGTCTTGAACAACATTTTAAACTCGTTAAAATATTTAAAAAGAAAATCTCAATAGAATTCTTCTAAAAACGACAGTACGGACAAATAAATAATAGAAATGATGCTGAAAAAAAATACATTAGTGGCCTATATTCCAATTTATTTACAATTCATATTAAAAGACGATTTCATCGTCCCATCACCATATTTTAGGGCTGGCAAGGCGTTAAACGTTGGTGTTGCCAGCAAATCTAGATTATTAACGGCCCACAATGGCGTGGCAACACTGCCTTTAGCATCGCATGCATTTTACCGCGAAGCATGTCGGTGGGGGAATTATATTTCTCTCTCTATATAATCATAAAAGAAGGTATTTTTTCTTATATAAAAACAACGATAGGAAAAGGAGCGAAAAAAGTAAATTTAAAACTTAAAAAAAAAATTGTAGCTACCAAAAAAACAACACCCTGTACTGTGTCGCATGTACAGGTTGGTTTTAAATTGTTGAAAAATATTTTTAAATTTATTTGATATTTAGAAAAAAAAACTGTTATTATTTAATTAATTTTTTTAAATCGCTCCTATTCGTACCGTCGTAGGCAGTGTTTCCAAACACGTAACGTTTTTCTATGTATTGTTAATTGTACTATAATCATGATTTATTGATTTATCTGCTTAAAATAATGTCTAACCTTAGAATTTTTCGGTCGACGCGGCGTGGCCAATTGACAATTTTAAATTATCTCGTATAGTTTAAGCACATAAGCACTCCGTTTTATTTAGGTATTTAAGAGCCAAGCTGTGGCATTTACTATTTACCTGTAATTTAAATAAGAACATGAATGTTTACATTAAGAAACAAATCGAATCAATTACTTCAAGATGGATAAACTTCAGTTTAAATTTAAAATTTTTACAAGTAGCTATTAAAAAACTCAATTTTAAACTTCTTTTCACAACAAAATACTCTTTAAAGTCTCAACATACCGCCAGATTACCGTCACTGGACTATAAACGGAATCGGAAATTCATTGATTATTTGCCATTGCAAAATAAATCATCAGTTTCATCCATAAGATCTCATTTTGATGAATAAATCGTCAATAGGCCACGACCACGACCGCCGCGCGGCGTCCGCTCCGCTCGCTCGCTCCGCTCCGCTCCCGCCGCACCGCTACCCACAAACAACGGAGCTACTATTTGCCTTTCAAAGCTATAGGGGGCGTCGCAGTCGTGTTATCGTGAAGAGCCTTCGTTTTGATAATATTTCTAACATAAACTATTATCAGAACAAGAGTTTTAAATAATTTAAAAAAGTTTAAAACTTTTTAAACTTTTTGAATAAAAAAAATAGTTTAAAATTACAAGATATTACCATTTTAGAAAGGCTTCCGTCAGGAAACACAACCGTCATTAGGAAAAAAGTAAATAAATATTTTATAGAGAAAGTCATATCAGCAACTTATCAAAATCAATCATTAATTATAAGAAATCAGCAGTTATAGATTACGTTTTCAAAAAACATATCAAATCTTCATCTCAAATTCATTAGAAACACACACATCTTTGATATCAGTTTCATGTTTAAAAAAAACTAACAATAATTGGACTAAAAAGACTAATTTTTATTAATTTCTCTGATCAGAAAAAAGTGACATCAAAATTTTAAATGCAAAATCTAAATTATTAAAAACGCTATGAATTTTAAATTTTAATTAATTTTTTCTGCTCAGTTTAAAATTTTATTTAAATAATTTTAAATAAATCAAAACTAATATCATAGATGTCAATTAATATTCAGACAAAATAATTAATTTAAAATCATTTAAAATCCAATAAATTCACCAATTATGTATAAATTTGCACTGTATCATAATAATTATCATAATAAATAGAAATTCGCACAGCAGTATATTCTCACTATAACGGGATTCGAACCCGATTCATTTCCATATCTTTGAAAAACATTTAACACAGGACTCGAACCTGCCAAGCTATACAAATAAAAAAAACCTGTAAAATAAACAAAATGTAATTAATTCGCATTTTAAATTATATGATGATAAAAATTACCCAAAATGGGAATCGAACCCAAGCAATGCGATAAGATCCAGTTGTCTATAATAAGCTGAGCTAAAATCATTAGTCTTTATAAAAATAAACATCACATTATGTGTGTAAGCAAATCTCTAAAACGACTAAACAGATTCAAATTAAACGTTAATGAAAACTTTTTAAAGATTATTACAGTTTCCAATTAAAAACACTCTTTCGGATATCGAATCCGAAAAAAACAAGTCGAAGAATAAAACATTATCATCTTAATATATATTTTATTTTCTTGCAAATTGTTTAAGAAAATTCCTAAGAAAAGTTATGAGAATGAGCAATCCAACTTCGCCAATATAATTTACTTTTCCCGTAACCCAATGCTGAGCAAAGGCCTTTTAATTTTAAATCTATAATTAATATTACAAAGAGGTAAAAATTATAAGTTTGTATGTAGGGGGTAATCTTTGGAACCGCTGGTCGGATTGTCAAAATTCTTTCACTGATAGATAGCATATTCCTGAGTGCTATAGGCTATAAAACCTCTCGCCACGATCAAATGGAGCCGAGCAGCGGGTGAAACGACAATGTCAAGTGTTAGATATAAAAAACAACAAAAAAGTGATAGCTTATAAAAAAAATCATTCTACAAATATTACAAATGAGAAAGTGCGTAAGTGCGGATGTATGTTTGTTACTCTCTCACGTAAACACTACTGAACAGATCTGAATGTAATTTGGCACACAGATAGACTATAGTCTGGAATAACATATAGGATACTTTTTAACCGCGTACTGCGGGCGGAGATGCTAACAGAACAGTAATATAGAAAGAGAAAAACAGTTTTTCTTATTCAATAATCTTGCCCAGATATTAATGAAACGTTTCGTTATAATAATAAGCCTTTGGCAACACATATAGGGACAAATAAAATCTCCGAAGAGGAAGATAGACATACAAATCATCATCATCATCATCATCATCAGCCAATAAGTGCCCACTGCTGAGCAAAGGCCTCTTCTCACACGGAGAAGGTTTGAGCATTAATCACTACGCTAACTCAAAGCTATAGTTATATTATATTATATAAATTATAAGTCTATAGTTCCTCACGATGTCTTCCTTCAGCGTATCAGTGGTGTCTAAATAATCTTAGCGAGCAATGGCACATATAAAATGTACAGTAGAAAAAAGTAACCTTTAAGTTTCTTGCTCGTTCTTCTCCATAAGAATCTACACTTTGGAACGAGCAAGTAGCTTCACTAGAGGACTGACCGACAGACTGACACTTTTATATATTTATTATAATGTTTATTTTGACATAGAAATCTATTTAATTGAAATTTCTTTTGTAAACAGACTAGAAACAGCACTTTTGTGCGTCAAAAAACGTAGATAAAGCCATTCTCTTAAGACTGAGAAGAAATGCCGAGACAAAATCAGAAAAACGCTAAGCTTTTTTGCTTATTTCGATGACAATAGATAGAGAATTTATCAAATAACTTCTCAAATTCCCTATTCTATAGAAATCATCACGCATTACACGCATCTGTACTTAATATTATAAAGAGGTAAAATTTGTAAGTTTGTATTTAATGGTAATCTTTGGAACAGCTGTTCGGATTACCAAAATTCTTTCACTGATAGGTAGCTACTTCCTGAGTGCTATTAGGCTATAAATTATAGCACGGAAGGCCTAAGGCGGAACTTAGTATTTAATAAAAAAGACCTTTGCCGCGCATCGAGTGACAGTGGACCAAAAAATCGTCAACCCATCGCCGCACCGTCCCCCTAGATCCCCCTCCCCCCACTCACCTGTTCTCTGGCCTTGTCCTTCTCTTCCTTCTCCTTCTTACGCAGCTCGGCGAGGTACTCGTTGAAGTAGGTCTCCCTGTCGCGTGCCTTGTCTATACCTTTGTAACGCTCGTCGCGACCGTGTTTTGATGTGAACTCACTGAATGATGATCTGTGGAGTGAATTTGGTTGTTATTGTTGTGTATTTAAGGTTGAATATTGAATATGTTACTTTTAAAATCTAATATATGTATGTAGAGTATGTGATTAATAAAATCAACCAAAAAAATATATTTTCGACTATCTTCAGTAGCCTTTTGACGAATGCCGCCAAAAGCACCGTACCACGCGTGTTTTTATTGTTTCTATTTAATGATTTTTCGATGTGAAGTTGCAGGTTGCAACACGTGTGACGTCACACTGGGTTCTCCGAAACGTGGCCACCTGTGACAAGGACGGCGGGGAAAAATCATGGAATTCACGTGACGCACTTTATGGATGGCCCCTAATGACGATCGATCGCAACGACGGAGGAGTTACGAGTACGTCGTCGACTTTTTGGGGATTAGGGATTTGGAGATTTTGGGTAAGGGAACGGGTTGTGGTAGGGGAATACATCACACGGCGAAACACAACTCTTTGGTTGTTTCACGCCGGTTTTCTGTGAGGCCGTGGTATCACTCCAGTCGAGCCGACCCATTCGTGCCGAAGCTTGGCTCTGCCACACTCGAAAACCTGCTCTGGGAAGGATCTACTTACTTGGAATGCAGTTTGGCCTCATCCATGAGGGCGCGGAAGGCGACCTTCTTCTGCTGCAGCCTGTTCTTCTTCTCCTTGCGCTCCTCCTCCGCGCGGTCTCGCACGTACTGGTCGAATACCTGGAACCAACATTACTTACTTAACTGTCTATACTAATATTATAAAGAGGTAAAATTCGTAAGTTTGTATGAAGGGGGTAATCTTTGGACTCCTGGTCGGATTTCCAAAATTCATTCACTGATAGATAGCTACAATGTTCTTGTATACTATATAGGCTGTGAACTATACTTGTACATATCTTTTTGGAAAAAAAACACATCTATTGTTTATTTAAAGGTAGTAATGTAGACATACATTTTTAGTTAATAAGTACTTGCAAATGTAGTTAAAATATATTTGTAATTGTTCATAACACTTTTATACTACATAGTTTTGTATACTATGATTACTAAAAAATACATTATTTCTTAATATTACTATGCCATCTAGCCATTACGACAAACCCACTAATCTAATTCTGAGCTTTAGCTTACATAACGCTGTGGTAGACCTACGCAGGTATACTGTGAGGTTATTGGGGACCCAATCCCCTTCCCCAAACCTTAATTCTCAAATCAACTGTCAACTTGATGGTCCATAAATCCCAAAAAGTTGACAACGCGCTTGTAGTAACTCTGATTGCTTACCATCAGGTAATCGTATATTATTGTATTATTTATCATTTTAATTTGCAATGTTTTCTTTTTTTTTTTGTCAAAGTTAGTTAAATAGGTTTTTTTTTTCAAGGATAAGTGCTTACAATTTTTTGTTTATCACGTCATTCATTTTGTTTCCTAACAGTCAGGGGCCATCTGAAAATCAGTGCAGGGCATTAGCACAGCATATACTGAGATGGACCCCTTGCTATATATTTTTATTTTTTGTGTAATGTTTATTTTTGTACGTTGTCAACTTATGCATGTGTAGCTAAATAAATGGTTTAATCCAACTGTTACTTTGACGAGCTACAGCGTAAAAAATGTGAATAAGCGTACCTGTCGCCTCTCCTTCGAGTTGAGCATGAGGTATCTGGGATCGAAGACGATCTTGTGCAGCTCCTTCTCCCAGGTGGAGAAGGCGGAGACGTCCTTCTCCTGCAGCATGCGCAGGAAGGCGGCGAGACGCTGCGGATGGGGCAGCGAGCCGCGCTCGCGGGCGGCGCGGACCTCGGCCTCCACGGCCGCCGCCGCGCCCGCCAGGATCGTGCCCGTCCCCGACAGCGAGCTCACGCCCGGGGCCTTCTCCTTCTCCGCTACACAACCATACGCAATGTTACATACTCATTTCATTCATTGTCCTTTTTTGTGAGGGAAAAATCAATAAATGACTTCTCCAGAGTTTAACACCCTCGGAGGGACTGTTGTGAACACTCTTACTGACTAAAAACTCCCTCGTTCCTTCTCCTGTTCTGGGCCGAGGCCGTGGTGCCTCATTGCCGAAATAACTATGATATTTGATGTCAAAACTTCATAGCATCATAATAAGGTAGTTTCCAACTAGTCAAATTCAATACTTTTATCCAAATGTCAAAAACGATACTTTTCTATGAAATTTTTTTTTTTTTTTTTTTTAATCAATAGTTTTAGGGGCTTTTGTTCTAACACATGTCAACCCCGTTAGGACATTTTAACTTACATCTATCATATTAAAGACTCATAGTCTCACTGATGCGTGAATATCCTAAACAAGGCAATAGCTGCAGAAGAAGTTGGATTTGAGAGAACAGTTGTAAAACTACCCACATCTAACATATTTAACTTAAATTCACTCACCAGTGATTCCCTGTCTCTCGCATATTTTATACAATCAACTAACAAATGTTGAACATCATCAAGGACACCACATACTTCACAATCTGGAGATTCATTTTTTTTCATTAGAAAAATAAATTTATTACAAGGAAAGTGTCCTGCACGTAATCTATTAGCTATAACTATGATATTTCTACATACTTTATAGTCTATAAACCAATAGTCTATAAACAAAAGCGAATTTTTGCGGCTTGCATCATAATATGCAGCACCCTGGCCCGTATTGTTTTTAGAACCATCTGTAAATATTTTATGCCAACCGTCGTACTTTTCAATTAATTCTTTTACAACCTTGAAGCGAATAGTTGACGGTTCTAAATTCCTTTTACTTGTTGATTGTTGTTGATACAATCTAAATTGCATTTTATAATTTCATCTTCATCTATGTAAGTTGTCCAAATGCTTAATGAAAACATATCTAATGGGTAAGAAGAATAGATGTCGTATGATTTACATTCTTTGTAGACTGTACAGAGTAGTGGTAGCTTTTTTTTCCGCCAATATTGACTTTTTTCCAGTGACGTTAACTCTTCTATCAGATTTGTTGTGACATTATTAGTCCATGACATACATTTGGTACAGTATTTATAGGCGAGATAACGTCTTCGAATATATAAAGGAATGAAATTTGTGTGACATACTGAGTTATGACGTCATATTTCTTAATAATTAGCTACAAAATATCTAAAACTTAGTGTATCGATCGATCGATGAATAAAAGTATAGTTATCTTTCAATATTTTATTGTATTGAAAGGTCGAATTAATTTATTTTTTGACCTAGAAAACTACCCAATTATGTTGTGAATTCAAACAACATACAATATATTTTATATACAAAAAAGTGTCGTTTTTGAAAAATTATTGAATTTGACTAGTTGGAAACTGGATTATACCTCTCTTGACATTGTGTATTTTCTTAATCCTTTAAGGAAAAACCTTATCCCCAAAAGGCCGGTAACGCAGTCGTATCTCCTCTGGTGTTGCGGGTATCCACGGACGGCGCCTATTGCTTACCATCATGGAATTCGGCATTATAGCACTGATACGAGCAGCGGGTGAAACCGCGCGACAATAGCTAGTCTATAATATAACAAAATGAAACAGAAACATACCTTCTTCAGCCTTGACCTTCTTGGCGGCATCAGCTTCTTCCGTGTTGGCTTCGGCAGTTCGCTTCAGCTCACCGTTGGCAGGTTTGGTACCGGAGGCAGCGGCCGCGTCCTTACGCTATAACAAACATACGAACCAACGTTATATATACAGTTAAATATACTAAAAGGCTTACCTGATGGTAAGCAATCAGCGCCGCCCATGTACACTCGCAACTCCAGAGGAATTACGAGGAAGGATATAGATCGAATTAACTGCTTACTGGCGTAACTGTTTTGCAATGAACTCGACTAGTTTCAAGCTACGCTGAGGGCTCATATTCATGAGCAGCATTGCGATGTTCAGTACGCGACGAAGGGAGCTTAACAAACTCATACCAGTCGAGGACTTGGTCAAGACAGTTACGTTAAAAACATTATAATTCAATGAACATGTCAAAATTATTCTATCATACGTTCATGACTGACTCAGGGATCGAACCCGTGACAATATAGGTCATATAAAACAGAATACTCTTGTCCAATGAGCTGGCTTCAAGGTTAATTATTATGTTTTAGGCTTACTTAAAACTAGTCGAGAATCTCGTCAAATTATTACATGAGTAAGCCGAAAACATAATAATTAATTTAGAATGTCTCACGAAAGTTATAAAAAAAATATAGATCTAACGTTTTTTTTAATAAGATTGGTTACTACAACTATAGCATAGAGATCGCTTAGCAGGTAAAATATAAAAACAACCTTTATATAATCTACAAAAATAATAAAATATATTGTCTGTGGTGAAGGATTAGTTCGCGCCTAAACATGAATATATTAAATGTCAAAGTTTGTAATATTTTTTTTTGTGAGGGGAAAATCATCAAATGACTTCTCCCGCCCAGGGCCGGGCAGGAGAGAGTGTCAGACTCTTACTGACTAAAAACCCCCTGTTCCTTCTCCTACTTTAGGCCGAGGTTGCGGTGCCTCATTGCGCTTACCCCGCAACCCCGGCTGTAATTTTTCAGCCTAACAACGTGTCGAAAGCGGCTGGCGCGAGCGTAGTGATTAATGCTCTCAAACCTTCTCCGTGTGAGAAGGTCTTTGCTTTGCTTACATGCTGATGATAAACGATAAATTTTGAACAAATTTCATCCAATTATTATACCTATCACCACAGAACTTAATCAATACAACCATTGATAAAGATAGGTACAATACAATACATTCGCTAAGTAATAATAATTATAAAAAACATTGCATTAGCCATTCCTGCCTAAGTACGTTCAAACGCAAAGCTGCCGTAATGATTCTGTTATCGCTAGCAAAAAGCTATTTTAATTTTGTTGAGTAATATTTTTTGAAAATATGTTTCAAAAACCGGCAAATAAGCTGATGGGTCTGATGGTAAGCAGTGGGTATGGGTACCATGGATATTTGCAACGCCAGAGGCTTCTCCCGCCCAGGGTGTGAGGCGAGAGTGACTAAAAACTCCTCTTTTCCTTCTCCAGCATTAGGCCGAGGTCGCGGTGCTACATTGCGCTTACCCCGCAATCTCGGCTGAACATCAGCCCTATAGGCTCCCGTCTGTGGTGGTCTATTGGCTCTTAGAGGCGCGCGCGGAACGCTACGTACCGTATGTTCAAGTCTGGTTTGGCGGCGAGCTACCCTTACTCGCCGTCCGCAGACTCGCGCTTACGGTTTCGGATAATTAGGGATTGAGAAGGGATTGGGCCTCCGGTAACCTCACTCACACGGCGAAACACAACGCTGCGGTTGTTTCAAGCCGATTTTCCGTGAGGCCGTGGTATCACTCCAGTAAAACGATCCGTTCGCGTCGAAGCTTGTCTCTCCCACATATGATTTTAAGCCCCGGCATTCTTCTTTCCATAGAAAAAATGTTACTCAACAAAATATTCCGCTTATTAATTTCTATGTGTATATAATACAATTATACATAATATCGTAGCTGACCCGGTAAAGTCAAAGTCAAAATCAAAATCATTTATTCCAACTAAACCATAAATAGGTACTTTTGAAACGTCAAAATAGAATAGTAGTCTGTCAGTCTGTTCCGGCAAACTTTATGTTGTATAAATAAAGTGTAGACGTCATATTCTAGTAAAGAAAAATAACTGAATTAGTGTTAATGATAATGGTATGAAGCATTAATATTATAAATGCGAAAGTTACGATGTTTGGATGTTTGTTACTCAATAACGCCAAAACGGCTGGACGGATCTGGACGAAATTTGACACAGGCGTAGTATACTCTTCGGAATAGGCTACGTTTTAACAACATACTACGCGGGCGAAGCCGCGGGTTGAAGCTAGTATGATTATAATGATTAATAGAGAGCAGGGAGTTCTACTGTCACCACGCAGGGGTTTATTTGGGGGGGTAAAATCGAAAATTGACTTCTTTTGTCCAAGGCGGGGCGAGCGAGAGTGTCAGACTCTTACTGACTAAAAACCCCCCCGTTCCGTCTTCTGCTCTAGGCCGAGGCCGCGGTACATCAACCTCATAACGCAGTTCAACAATTTTAGTGTTTATTTTTCTTCATTTTAAAGATAATCTTTTGCATACAATATCACCACGTTGGGGTGCGTGCCAGAAGACCTCCCCGTGGTGCACCCTGGGTGCGGGCGACAGTCTCCCTAACGGGATGGTGACAGGGTTGGTTTGACTGTCGCCCGCAGCGAACTTCTGGCCGGGCGGAGAACCCGGTCGGGTTCTAGAGGCGACCGGCTCTATGCTGGCATAGAGTCTACGCCTCCGTGGGGGCGTTCCTCCGCACGACTCTCTGGACCTAGCAGAGAGCGGGGCGGAGAAACAAGGGCGGCGCTCGTTGTGCACTCACCCTGCCAATGAGTAGCATCGGGGCACTAGCTGCGCCCGACTGCACCCGTCGATATCGTAATCCGGGAAGAGATCATGGTCATGTTTTATGACTCGGACCGGGACGAGGGTCTTGGCTTAACCGCCCGGACCGCGAGGAAGATAACCTCTATAAAAAATTCCTCCAATACTAAGTTCTGGTGCGCGGCGAGGGTATGTATGGCTGAGGAGTAGGATCAGTCGTGAGCGCACCCCCAGCTAGGGGACCGGTGGACCCCCTAGTTGGGAGACAAATGCACACTTACCCAGGGACAGGGGGCTCTCCCTGGGCGGACCTCTTATTTCCCCCATACTCGTGGGACTTCAATGGAGATGTCTAAACACAAAAATAATAAAAATCCACCTACCGGTGAGGAGAAGGCAAGCGAGGTCAGCTCGCTTGGAGGCGATAGCGAGGGCCAGGTTGGCTCTCGGGTTCGTGGGGAGGCGCTGGCCCCGTCCAGCAAGTCTCGGGCACGGGCCCCGGGGAGGAAGGAGTCGGACTCAGAGTCCGACTCATCATTGTCTGGCGTCAGCATCGCGCTGCGCCACAAAAAAGACCGGGGCGTTTTCAAACGTCCCAGGTTGGAGGATGGCCGAGAGCCGTCCTCCATCGAGCAGGAGGCCCCAGCCCCCAAAATCCCCACGGCTGCGCGGGGTAGGGGCAAGGGGAAGGGCTCCACAAGAGCGGCTGGGAGCCGCTCTGAGCCGGCAGAGCGGCTGGCAGCGGAGGGGAGCGCCCTGGGAAAGGCTGCCCCCTCGGACTCCTCGGAGATGGAGGTGTCCGGAGGTGAGGATTCTGCAGGCGGCGCTGAGAGCCTCCGCCTCCAGGTTAAGGAAGCACTCCGCATGCTGGCTGGGCAAAAAACCCAGGCTGGCAGGAACGGAGTGCTTAAGCATGCGGAGGCCGCAATAATGTCGGCGGTATCCCAGAAGGGCTCAGCAGAGCGGCAGATGACCGCTCTGCAAAAAGAGATGGCCGGAATGAGGCGCGAGCTGGCCCGATTAGCGGCTGCGAACTCTGCCCTGGAGGCGGAACTTCGTGCAGCAAAGGCGGAACTCGCCGCTGCTCGCGCGGGTCGTCCCCAACCCTCGCAGCCAGTGGAGGCCGACCTTCTTGGCCTCATGCGGCAAGAGATGGCCGCCTTCCAGCAGCGTTTCGACGCTCTGGAGGGTAGGCTCCTTCGACCCCCGCTCGCAACTGGCACTTATGCAGCCGCGGCAGCGAAGACGAAGCAGCCACCTAGCCGCGGCGTCAGAGCAGACGCTCCGGTGGAGAAAAGGGCGAAAGTGCCCCCTGCGGCGAAACCACCGAGAGCCCCGCCGCTGACGAGGACGCCTATGGCTCAACCGGCACCGGCTCCTGCTGTGCCTCTGGCACCAAATAGCCGCAAGCGAAGAGGCGCAGCAGCTGAAATTCCAGCCGTTGCAGCCCCAACCCCGCTATCAGAGCTGCGCACCGATGGCGACGAGTGGCAGGTGGCCGGGCAGGCGAGAAGGAGCGCCAAAGAGGCGAGGAAGCGCCGCAAGAAGGAGCAGCGGCAGCGGCGGCAGCAGCGACGCAAAGAGAAGCGCGCTGCGGCAATGCTCCTCACCCCTAAATCTTCGGCTGTAGTTATCACGCTACAGCCGGACGCGGCTAAGAAGGGGGTGACATACGGCGACGTCCTCGCCAAATTGAAGGGGACGGTTACTCCCGCGGAGTTCGGGGCCCCTAACGGGTTCGCGGTAAGGGTCACCGCGACTGGAGCCCGTCTTCTGGAGGTCCCCGGCGCGGCCAGCGGCCCATCCGCTGACGCCCTTGCCGAGAGGCTCAGGACGTGCCTTGCGGCGGATGAGGCTCGCGTGTCCAGGCCCACCAAATGCTTGGAGCTACGCATCATGGGCCTGGATGACTCCGTGACGGAGAACGAGGTGGCGGCCGCTGTCGCAAGGACGGGGGGGTGCCCTGCTGATCAGGTGAAGGCAGGCACCATCCGCCCGGACAATACGGGGCTGCGGACCGTGGTAGTGAGCTGCCCCGTCACAGCGGCCAAAAAACTGTCGGAGGGCAAAAGGCTCCTGGTGGGCTGGGTTTCGGCGCAGGTGAAGCTGCTGGAACCCCGACCTTTGAGGTGCTTCCGCTGCCTCATTGGTCACCATGTGGGTGCCAAGTGCACCTCAGAGGTGGACCGCAGCGACCGCTGCTTCCGCTGCGGTCAGCCCGGTCACAGGGCCGGCGCTTGTACCGCCCCGCCGCACTGCGTAGTATGTGCGGCGG